AGAGTGGAAACTCCTCCCTCACTCGGCTTCTTGTCATTACCAGCTTTCTGTTTCCCTTTATCAGTAGGAGTCACATACAGATTTCCTTTGAATTGGCATTTTCCCTTCTTGTCATTTAAACTCTTATAGTGGGCATATCTAGCTATATTATCTTCATCATAAATCCTGCTTTTGTTCACCAACTCAGAAAATCGCCTAATTTCCTGATAACCAATGGCTTGCTTGATTTAAGGCCTCAAACCATTCACGAACTTGAGACACTTGGATCTCTCAGCATTGGTAGTGTTGTAATGAGAACAAAACTTAATCAATTCCTCAAACCTTGCTGCATATTCAGCCACAGTTGAGTTACCTTTTTTCAGCTCGAGGAATCCAATTTCCTTCTTCCCTCGTACATCCTTTGGAAAATACTTCTCTAGGAATGTCTCCCTGAAAACATCCCACATAACCTCAAATTCATCTTCTTCAAACCTCTGACAAGTGTTACCCCTCCAGTCCTCGACTTCCTCTTCTAGCATATGAGTGCCAAACTGCACCTTCTACGCATCCTAACAGTTCATGACTCGAACGATCTTCTCGGTCGCTTTCAACCATACCTGTGCTTTGTCAGGTTCATGGGTTCCCTTGAAAATTGGTGGATTGTTCCTTTGAAACCTTCCTAAAGCACGAAACTCGTCACCAGCGTTGTTTCCAGCATTCACGTTGGCTTGTGGATTCTGTCCAATCGCTCCAGCCAACATCGCCAAAGCTTCGACAATCGCTTCATCGTTCCTACTGACGACCATTGTTCTGGATTCCAACAACAAAACTTCATAAGAACTAACAATATCGATAGTGTCATACACACATATCAAATATATATGGGAATAAACACATTAACAACTTAGTCACCTGACCGACCTACTCTGATACCACTATTGTAACACCCTTCTAAACCCCGCGGAATATATATATAAATAGTCAGAGTAAATCATCATGAATTCACAAAAGGGTGTCACACATGATTTTCAAAACATCAAAAACCACCTGTAATGCTCATTAACACTTTAATAAATATTCATGCTTTTCAAGGTTTCACTTCGCATGTAGCAGCGAATTCAATTTATATCATAATTCTCGTAACGGAAACATTCATGTTCATCACATAAATCAACATTACTTAGGCACTAAGGCCAACATCATAATATTCCGATGAATATAAAAATATAGCGTAGAGTACATAATGTATCTCTAAGACATAAACCAAGCAATCCCAGTGTTACATGACCAGAGCACGACTCGACCCAACATAATTAAAATACTAAACAGATGCACCAACAGAGACCTTGCAACTACGAACAGTTCTACTCCTTGATATCTGCGCGATGTTGTATAAAACACATTCCAACAGAAGGGTGAGAATTCACATCAATATTGAAATTATAAGATAATGAATAATGTAAGCATGTCAACACCAACACCAATATTCTCACACTTCAATTTTTCTCAGCCAATATCATTCAACAACCACACATTCACAACCCACAATTCAACAAGTCATACACATATGCATACTTTCATACAACAATTACATATGCCATATGACTCGATGCAAACTCAATGCAACTCATGCCATGTGGTACCAACACTTGTTATTATTTTTCTGTTTTTACATTTAAACTGGGTCCGTCCCTTAGACCAATAACAAACAAAACCCCGTCCCCTAGGCTTTCAAACCCCACTCTAGGTTTGGGACAAGTCACTAGTCTCCACGAAACTAGAAAGCATTGCCTCTTAACAACAAATGATGCATATGCAATCAACAACCATATGCACTTAAGACCGTTCTCACATCTTAATCCTATGCATTCTCAAATAATTCATCACACAAGAATCATAACATGATTGCACACATAACATATTTCATAAAAATCAAAGTATTCATACTTTCTACATCATCACTACATTTATCAAGTAATGCACAAGAATCAATTAGATTCAATCACAATTCACACACAATTCGACGATTACACATAGGATAATAAATTCATTACCAATAGCCAAATTCAATATTTAATACACAATTAGCTTGTTAAACAAAAATTGATATCTCAATAGCCAACCAAAGGTTGATAATCAATCAATACTCAAGTAAATAATCAATAATCATCTCAATTAACCCATGTTTTAGTTAAGATTTAATTAAATAATGACTTTGTGTAATCAAACTTCCAGTACATGACTTTTCCAAATTTCAGCTAATGCAATCGATTGTAGTGAACATGCAATCGATTAGACATGTGAAAAATTCACTTATTTCAGCTTTTGTACATCATGCAATCGATTGGAGTTATTGTGCAATCGATTGTATGACTCAATTTCTCATTTTTTTAGCTACTATTTTTAAGTGCAATCGATTGACATCTTAGTGCAATCGATTGTACCTTTGAAAATGTTATCATTTTAGCTACTGTTTTGTTGTGCAATTGATTGGCATCTTAGTGCAATCGATTGCTCAGTTCAAAAATTCAATTTCCAGCAGCTTTGCTAAGTGTGCAATCGATTGTAGCCTTAGTGCAATCGATTGCTCACTGCGCGTTTTCGAAAAATTGTTCAGAAAATTGTATTTTCACCAACCATTCCCTTCTTTGCTACAATAATCGATCCCCTCATATTAGGGAATTCATAACAATCAAAAATTCACTAAATCATGGGAAATCTAAGGGTTTTTTCCTACACAAACATCTACCCATTAATCATTAACCCACAATCCCAACAATGAGAGAATACCCACCCTTACTTAGGTTTTTTTTTCTTTGGGAAGAATCCTTGATTCCTTGAATGCTTGAATTCTGAGTTTCTCTCTTCCACTCTTCTTTTTCTCTTGCATCTTTCTCTTCTTCTCTTCTTTTCCTCTTGCCTCTTTCTCTTCTTCTCTTCTATGTTCTCTATTCCCCTTTTTCCTTCTCTTACTAACTTCTCTTCTCTAAAACCCTAATTCTTAAGTTATTGGGATTAACCCAATTCACTTACTATTCACGCACTACACTAACTCACTAATCCTAGCAATCAATCATCTCACCAATTAAATAAATAATTATTCGATAATTTAATTAATTAAAATAGTTCGAATAAATTAATTAATTAATATAAATAATTAATTATTAAATATTAGGGTGTTACACTTTTCACCATCTAGTGGTATAACTTTTAATGAAGTAATTCCTTCTTCATTCAACTGCCTCTGCAGCAATGATATCTCCTATGCCTTTTTGACAAAACCCGTGTATCCTGACTTTGCCCATGCCATCTCCCTTTCGTCTACTATTAACAAAAGTCATATGTTTTCTTTGTCATTCCTACCCCCCACCATTTCGTTTTTCTGCCTAGACCTGCTGACGATTTTGTTCTGATTGCTTCAGCGCTTCCGCGTAACTTCTTCCTTCTAATCTCTTACCATGCCAATTTATTGTACTATGTTGCTTCCGTGACCGCTCTGATGTACTGTCTCTGCCTTCTCTGATTATCGCTCTGCCTAGTACTTTGTACTATTTTCCTTTCTTGTTGTCCCACATATCTTCTTTCCTGTTTGGTTTTTTAAATTTGGAAATGTTAACCCTTACTTTGTAGGATCCAAACCAGATGTCTCGAAGTTGTTCCTCCAACAAATTCTCGTCTGTCACTCTAGCGTATCTAATAAAGCCAAATATTTGTCCTCGTTTATTCCTCTTTTTTGCAATGTAGACATCTGTCACTTTTCCCCAATTTTGAAATACTCTTCCCACTTCTCTCTCGTTTATATCGTTTGGAAGATTGTTGATATAACATGTGGTTGTTTTACCGTACTATGTCTTGTTCTGGTTTGGTATGAATCTTTTTCTTCTTCTAGAACTCACTAAGGTCCAATTTGCTGCCTCTCTCTCGTCCTTTCTTTTGTCCATGTTATCGTTGAGTAAAGTCAAAAACTGAAACCGAAGTTTCAACGAAACGGTAAGTGAATGTTAATATTTTACTTAATTAAAAAAATACAATTTGCGCCTCCTCTTTGTACAATATCACATACATTTAACTTATTGTCGTATTGATGGCGCAGTCGCTAATGTATGTCACAACTATGCTCTATTTTTAGTGCATGCGCCATTGACTTGTATCGTCACCTCTATAGTGCAAAATATATTTTTTTAAACATATACACCCTCTTTTCTTTTTTATAAGCAAATTTTAACTTTTTAGATTCATTGAATAGTTGATATATTTAATCTATATAATGTCCAAATACATCATTTATTAAATGAAACTAAAAAATTAAAATTTTCTTATAAAAGAAAATATAGGGAGTATATGTTAGTTAATTATGAGAAAAGATAATTATTATGATATTTTAATAAAAAAATATAATTATTTAAAAAAATAAAAAATAAAAAAAATAAAGAAAAACCTAATTGGAACCGTATGAATTGTTGCAAGACAGAAGCATGGCATCATCTCTAATGTATGATAAAAATATTGGCTCCACCAAAATGATTGAACGTGGGCCATCATACCATATTTTACCACCAATCAAAAACACCCACCTGTCCATTCACGCCGCCACCAACATCCCTACGAGGATATCCATCCAACACGTGCCAGTCTGTCAAACGTCTCATTACCTCGTAATAGTGTCGTTCACCATGACCTTCTCTTCTGATACCAATTTTACCCCTTTTTTGTCTTTTCCTCTTACATCTGTTTTCTTAATACCGAAGAGGTTATAATTGTAAAAACAACACAACCCCAAAACTTCAGTACAAAACACGACACTGTACAGAACAAATTCCGCCATTTCATTCACACAAGTCTCTCAGTCTCAGTCTCAGCCATCACACCAATTTTCTCAGAGTGTTTTTTCAAAAAGCTTCCTCATTTCTTGCAAGAAATAACGGAAAAAGAGCAACATAAAACAAAAAACTTTATACTCCACTCCACACGATTCTCAGCAACTGCTAGTTCTGTTTTTCTGTTTTTGTTTTCCCAAAACAATGAAGATGAAGAAACTTAACACTCTGTTCTTGATCTTTATGCTTCTAACGTTTGTTCAATGCTCTAGTTCAAGTGAGTTAAAGTTCAACCAAATCACTCTTCTTAGTTTCTTATTTTTTTGTTTTTGTTTGTAGTACTAAAATCATTGTTTTGATATTATTGCAGCTCGTATTTATCGAACAAAAATGGAAGGAGCTAGACGACACATAGCAACAAGCATTAAGGTGAGAAGTAAACAAAAGATGGAAACTTTGTTTTTTTGGTTATTCAGTTTTGAACTTTCAAAGCCCTGTTTGTTTGTTAGGTTGCAATTGCAAGGTTTAAGAAAGAAGGTGTTTCTGTTGGCACATTTGAAGACTCTGCAAGAAAAGTTCCAACAGGACCTGACCCTCTTCATCACAACAACCACCCTTTACAACCTTAACTAGTTGTTACCTTTCACGAAATTAGTAGTAGCAAGCACTAACTATTTTCTATATAGAACCTTTTGATATCATCAGTTTTTGTATCTTCTGCAATATTAATCTTGTTTTTGTACAAAATCAGAGACAAATTACATTTGGAAGTTTAAAATTTACTTTCTGCATTTTAGTTGTGTTTGTTGCATTCAATGTTGGTGATTGCGTTTTGTTTACCCTTTTGAGATTTGAAAGATGACAAAGAAAACAAAGAATGGAATTCATTTCTTTGCCACATTTAGAGGAAATAGTGGAAAGGAATGACTAGTCTGCAAGTTGGTACAAAGTTCAGAGTTGTGGTGGTTCCATTTTACTTTTTTTCTTCTTCCGGTTATATGATATTTCAAGTTCAGTAATTAGTGTTCAAGCTGAATTTATATCATCATTGAGATTTTTTGATCAATTCTTTTGATGAAGATTAATGGAGAAGAAGTAGGGAGCCAAATTTCTTATGAACCAATTTTAGGTCCTTCGAAAAAATAAGATTTAGAGGGACAACATTCATGGTATAAAATCTAAGGGTGACAAGTGAAAACATCTCATAAAATTTTATGTAGATTGTTTTATTTTTATTTTTATCTTTTATAAGTTGTTAGCATTTCTATTGATTATTAGAATAAAAAAAATTAAAATTAGAGTTAAATTTTTTTTTTTTAAAAAATGCATATATTACATACTTGCAGGACTAACTATGAGAGATAATTAGCGAGATATATGTGCGGCCTGCGGCAACACGGGTAAATTTATTTGATACAATCATTTTAAAATAATCAATGACTATATAAATTCAATTGTATTAAAATATAAAAAGAAAAAGGACAGTGAGATAAAAGAAAAATAAATATTTAATATTTAAAAATAAAGACTTTATTTTTTAAATTAAGATAATTGTTGATTAAAATAAAAAATATATTATATTAATAGTGACCAATAAAATAAAAAATTTATTTGATATAATATAAAATTTATTTATTTACTGATGTAAATTTAAAACTAATTACTTAATTGTAAAATAAAAAATAATTATATAAACTCAATTCTATTAAATATTAATCATATAAAAAGAAGAAACAAAAATAACTCATGAAAAGAAGAAAGATTTTTTTTTTGATATTTTGAAATAATGATTGTCATTTAAATCTAGGCAAATTGTTGATTAAAATAAAATAAACATTGTGATGATAATGACCCGTGAGAGAAAATTATTTGATACCATATGAAATATATTTAGATACACATGAAAATTTTAAAATAATTTACTTAGATAATGATTAGCAATAAGGATATTGTCTCTTAGACAATGATTAATTAAAATAAAATAGATATTGTGTTGATAGTAGTAACATGTGAGATAAAATAATTTTTTAATTTTATTAAAATTAAAAAATAGATTATTAATATTTATAGTCATAATAAATAAATAGAGAAACAAAATTAAAATAAAAGTGAGAAAGTGTAGGAAAAAAAAACGTGAAAGAGATTTGAAATTTGAATCAAGAGAGAGAATGACTGAATGTAATATTTAATTGTGATTTAATTGGAAAATTTGAAAATGAATGTTACATGTCATGTTCTTGTAAGAGATGAGAATATAAAAGATTAACATTACTTAATTATTTAAATGTCCTTTAGTTAGTATAAATGATTTGTACTGAAAGGGCAATTTAGGAATTGCATGCAATTGATTTTTAATGGGTTGATAGTTGACTGTTGAAAAGTATTTTAGGTGGGTTGTTTTATCATATTCGTAGGGATTGTTCTAATATCTCGATGTTTGTCGTTCAACAGTTTAAAGTTTTAAGAAAATGGTTTTCAAAGAGTTTTTGTTTTGTAACATATGTTTTGGTAGCAAAGATTAAACTAAAGAAAGATGTTTTCTTTTAAGAAAAGCATGTCAAGATTAGATTCCGTTAACCCATTTCATACATATCCAAATAATCAAGCATGTGAATTTAGTTTAGATCAATACAATCATGTATCCTCTTGATTCCATTTATTTCTAAAGCAGCTTCGTGGATATTATTGTTTCTTTCGCTAGATGATTTCTCGAAACAACAATCGAAATAATAAACATAAAGATCGATACAAAGCAAATATTAACTCTCAAATCTATATCTAGAGTTTATTTGTTAATAGATAAAAAAATTAGATCAAGACTTGGAAAATCTATGTCTAGAGTGATTCAAACCATACATACATCATTAAAAGCAAACATCTTCATCATATATTGATCATCAACCTTGTTCACATACAAAAGATCAAAAGAAATATATACTAGTAAGGTTAACTACCTCTAATCTTGACACAAAAGGATTTATCTAGCCATCACCATGGTAGCTTGATCGGCAAGTAAAAAGGATAGCTTTGATAACATCAAAGTCGAAAGTTTGAAGATTGATGCTCCAAAGTTTTGATTCTCACTTCTCTTGGAACTTTTAAGCTTTTTGCCTTAAGAATCCCTTTACAATCTGAAAAGTTGCTAAAAATGAAAAGTTTTCTAAAATATCTACTCAAATGGCTATTTATGCAAAGTCTACAAAATGCCTGTAAGTGGCACCGCGCTATGCGCCATCAGGGGCGCGCTTAGCGCCATCAGCACAAAGGCGGCAAATTCTCAGAAAGCGTGCTAAGCACGATCAAGGGTCCTTAGCTACTGCCCCTTTATCAAAAATGTTCTGGACTCACGCTAAGCGCGAGTTACCGTCAAAATGTTGCAAAATTGATCTTCAAAGTCCTCTTCCATCATCCATAGGTTCCAAGCATTATATCAAGCAAGAAAGCCTATCATAAAAGCATAAAAATTATCACAACTCACAATATTTACAAGCATAATCGAAAACATTCATATTTATACTAAAACAAATGAATTTATAACTAAAACACCAAAGAAACAATTGGAAAGTGCCACAAAATACTATAAAAAAATATGCACAATTTAACCTTTAACAGCTCTCCCCAACTTGTTATTTTGTTTGTCCTCGCACAAAAGGTTTCCAAACATAACTGAACCCCAAAACAATGACAAGAAATCAGAATCAACTAGTTAGAACATCGACAATTTAATGGTTCAAAAAGTAGAAGCACAAACAAGATAAACTTACCATACTCAAAATGAATCATGGAGATGAAACTATTGCTAAGTGCAAAACATAAATCAAAACTTCTAAAGCAATATAATTTCAATATGAATCACACCTAAGCACACATTCATCAAGGGATAAAAATATTATGAGGTTTTATCACTCACTAAACAATCCTGCAAACATCCAGAACAAATTATGCATTCAACAAACAACATGCATTAAGGATTGTAAAAGAAGGAATCACAAGGACTTCAAAGGTTGTAATTTAGCTTGGGCTACAAGGAAGGGTCATTTATCAGTCATTGAAACAAAAACGCATATTCCTATTAGAGCATTTAATTCTCACATTCATATACAATTCAATACCTTAACCTTCTTGTTTTCTTTTCTTTGAGGCACCATTACAACTTTGAGCTTTTTTGTTGGCAATTCATGCCCAATTTTATTTCTTTTTCATTTTTCTCTTTCAAGCTCTTTCATTATTACAACTGTTAGAACACAGATTGATGTTCAATATATCTCATTGTTTTGATGATAACGTTAATGAAATTTTGTATAGAGAATTCATATACTCTAATTTTGTTCAAGTGTTTATTTGTTTCAGATATCAAAATTAACATTATTCTGGAAGCAAGAACGCCTCTGAATATTAAAGAGCAAGAAAGCTCTGAGCGACAGAAGCAAGCCATCAGAAGAATCTGATCTGCTAAAATGACTCTGAGCGAAGCTAAGAAGAACTTGAGTAAAGAACATACGCAAAGCATCAGAAGACTTTGGAAGTACTCAACGTTGCAAGTACAGAACTTCTGATAAGCAAGTATGCTCTGATAAGGATTTCACGCTTAAAGCACTTTGCTGCAAACTCTGATAGAGAAACTCTGAGTGAGTTATACTCTGACCTGAACAACTAAGAACATCATCAGAAGTTCTAATGCAAGGCGTTCCAAAGTTGTTGAAGAAGATGTTGTTCAAAGAAAAGATCCGTTGCTAATCCCAACGTCTGCTCCAACGGCACTATTCCTCATTTATGCATGACACAAAAATTCAGACACAAAGCACATGTCTGAACATTCCTCTTCCTGGAAAGGAAAAGTCAATAGAAGACAAAAAGGAAACAGAGGCAGCAGAACATACAACAATGCACAGTCTTTGAGATAAGGACTTGAAGTAGTATTTAAACAAGCTTCAGCATCTTTCCAACGTTGGCGAATCATTTGAAAGAAAAACAAATCACAAGCTCTCATTCAAATATTCTTCAAGCTTAACAGTTTTCATATTCGTTCTTAATTTTGTGTAAACATCACTATTGTGATATAACTTGTTAGAAGCAAAACCTTAAACACAAATTGTTAGTTTATCTTTGTAAAAGATTTCCTTAAGAAGACCAAGTTGTGGTCAGATTTTCTTGAGAAGACTAAGACAGTTTTCTTAGTGGTTTACACTGTAATCAAGTTTGATGTAGTGGATTAAGTCCTTGTTGAGAAAGGCAAATCACCTTGATAGGGTGAACTGGATTAGTTTGAGTTCAAATGAACCAGGATAAAAATACTGCTATTTTTCTATCAACTAAGTTGTTTTAAAACCCTTATTCACCCCCCTTCTAAGTGTTTTTCTCACCTTCAGTTGGCATCAGAGCTCCGGTTCTGTAAGTGCTCTCACTTAACCGTGATAGAAAAAGATCCAGTTGAGAAAACTCCTAATCTCTTGTTCTTTATTCATCATGGCTGCTGAAGCCTCAACTTCAACTTCATACAAATACAAATACGATGATAGAGACAGAATTAGCACCAAACCTCCCATGTTTGATGGTGAGAAGTTTGAATACTGGAAAGATAGAATAGAAAGTTTCTTTCTAGGCTATGACGTTGATTTGTGGGATTTGG